GACAATTTTGCCCAAATTTTTTTTGTTAAGTGTATATATATTATTTTGATAAATAAATTATCCATAAGCATTTATTATTTCAGGGGAGGGAAAGTTTGTATAAAAAAATATTTAGAAAAATATTTCTTGCAGAAAAACATCAACAAATTCCTATTTTTCTGTTATTGAAATTATTATATTATTATTAATTAATAACAACAATGATAATAATAATAATAAAATAATAATAATAATGATAATAATAATAATAATGATAATAATAATAATAAAAATAATAATAATAATAATAATAATAATAATAATAATATTCATAATAATAATAATACCTAATAATAATTATTATAATAAAATAATAAAAATAGAAAATAGAAAATTATTTATAAAATATTTATAAAATTATAAACATTGATAACAATCAGGAAGCAAGAGTAGGAAAAAACTAACAATGACTAAAGACTAACAAACAGGATTTCCTAAACAATACAGTAAAACTATAACAAAGGGACATTATATTGGGTTAGACGAAAAAGAAAAAGTTGAAAATTGAAAAATATGGAGTTATATAAACGGACGAGAAAATTGTAAAGTTGATGAGAATTTTCTATCTATGACATCATATATAGAAAATAGAGAAAGGCACGCACACGCAAAACATTACAATATTGCTTTAAATCGTATCGCTTTTAAAAAAAGCACAGCTTTTTCTAAAAATCCAAGCATTTTTACTATTTTTTTTTTTTTGCATTTCCATTAAAGAAATTTAAACATTTGAACTAATTTCTTTGCCCGAAAAAAAATGTATTCTTGTTTTGAGAGGAAAAATCCTCTTAAATTTTATTCTTGAATTTAGAGGAATTTGCAAGAACAAAACAAGAAAAAATTTTTTTTTAGAGTTTACAGCTATTTTTGTTTATCTTACTTCAAATATTTTTTTTATTTATAAATTTACTATTAGACTATAATATTATAATATTGTAATATAAAATATTGAATCACAAATAATAGCAATATTAATTGTTAATTAATAATAAATAATAAGCATTATCTATATTAATATTAATTAATAATAATATCAACATTAACTATTTTTATAAATAAATAATATTGATATTACTTTTAAAATATTATCAAATAATATTTAATTATTTAAAATAAAAATATTAATATTATAATATTCTAATATTATAACGTATACATTTCAATAATAATAATAATAATAATATTCTATAAACATTAAATTCATTATTTTCAATACACGCCATTTCATGCAAAGAAAAGTTATAAATCAGAAAAAATAGTAAAATTCTTTAGAGTCTAAATTTAATAAGTAGCTGAAATTTAAAAAATCTCATGCACTAATTAAATAAAATTCAGTAAAGTAGATATAATAATAAATTGGTATTGTTTTCGTGTATATGATGTGTTCGTTAATGATTCAAAAGTCCAATAATTATCTGTCACGAAAATATTTGCGCAAATTGCGTAAATTTCATTATTCGGAAAAAATTTCTTATGAAAAAATAACAGCAGAAAAAATTTAGAACAAAAATATTTGTTATTGGAAATTTCATCAATTCTTATGTATTTTTAGTTTTTATTTTATTTTCAATTTTATCAGATTCGAATTAATCGATATTTGAAAACAAATTGATAAAATTTTCCTCTTTAAATAAAAAAAAAAAAATTATTAAAAAGTGTAAATAAAAAAATATGTAAAAATATGTAAATGAAAAATGTAAATATGTTTTGTAATATTTTCTAAATTTTCGTTAGCTAATGATTCGTTTCTTTCTATAGAGTCGAAGAAACTTTTAATTCTCTAAAAGCTTCAATACCTAATTATTATTTTTTTTTTCCTAAAAAATATCTAACCCATACAATATTTTCAACTCCTTAAAAATTTATACACGACGATAAATTTCATTTATCATTATAACTATACATATTGTAAAATTTTCTTTTTCTTTTATTTTATCAGTATTAATACTAGGACGGAGTGAAAATTTAAAAATGAATTTTTTTGACAAATTTTAAAAAATCATAACTTTTGTCTAGTTTCAGAAAAAACTTGGGTTTTGATTAAACAAAAGTTTGCTTCATCTTGATATTTCATTCCATCCTAATTAACACATCTAAGCTAAATTGGATCATTTATTTTTCTAGGTTTTTTTTTAATACTGAATTTTAGACATGTTTATTAGTTATTTTTATATTAATTTGACGGGAAAAATGGAAATTTTCTCTCCGCAGTCAAAATTTAATATTTTTAATTGAAATAATAACCGACATAGTAATCTCTGATATATACCACGTGCATATAATTATTTATGCTTATATTGACATTTTTAGATTGTCGGTTCGAGTTTTATATAATTTATATAATAAATGTTACTTTGAGTTTCTAACAGTAAGCCTAATTATCTTTGGCACTGTTTTGGCTTTTAGATTTCAAACGCGATTGGGATTATTACTCAACTGTCGAAAATATTCCATCGTATTTGCCTTATTTTTAATACATTCGATTTTTTTTTCAAGTCTTTAGTTGTGTTTTTTTATTATTATCTTCTACTTTTTTTTTAACTGTTGACTCTCGTCAACTTTTTTTTTAAATTTTTCCTTTAATTTCTACACTAGTGGACCAAAAAATCATCTTGTTCTTTGTTTTGTTTTTATTTAGGAAAAAAACAATTTACATTTTTGTAATTTGTATGTAATTTTTTAATTAATTTTTAACTTAATTTTTTTAGACCTCGGAACGTTTCGAAAGCGCAAAAAATCGACCTAGTAGATTTAAGGTACAAAAAGAAGTTTAAAAAAATGTATTTTATTCAGTGTTGTCATAAAAATTTTATTTTGTATTTCTTTTCAATTCTTGAATAAAATAGTTAAATATTATATTATTTTCTCAAATTTTTAACTAAACTTTTTTTTCTAAATTAATTATTTTTAGTAATACTCTGAAATTTATTCGTGAATTCAATTATTTAAAGACGAAAATTCAATTATTTAAAGACGAAAATTCAATTTTTTGCAAAAGATGAACAGTAACTTTTCATATTTTTTTAAAGTTATTAAATAATATTTAAGTTGTTAAATAATTTTCGAAAGATAATAGATTTTTCAATTTTATATCTAATTGAAAAATTTCCAAATAATTAAAATTTAGTGAAAATTTTTGAAAATGATTTAATTCTTAAAAATAATGTTTTAAAAATATTGAAAATAATTTAATTTTAAAAGATTATAATGAAAAAATTCTAAGAATTACTGTATTAAAAAATATTTCAATATAATTTTTCTTGAGAGTAATTTTCATAAATTTTCATTTGAAGATTTTTCATTAAAATTTTTAAAAAACTAATTATTTTCAAAATTTTTAATTAAAATTCTTTAAAACATGATTTTTAAATATTTTAATGAAATAATTTTAAATAACCAATTATATTCAATAAAAATTTACAAAATTTCAATTATTTTCAAAATTTGGAATTAAAATTAGCCAAAATATAAATTTTAACAATTGTAATGAAATAATTTTAAAAAGCCAATTGTTTTCAATAAACTTGTTTAAAACTTCAATTATGTTCAAAATATGCAATTACAATTCTTTGAAATTTGATTTTCAAGAATTTTCATGAAACAATTTTTTAAATAACCAATTTTTGTCAATAAACTTGTTCAAAACTTCAATTATTTTCTAAATTTTCAATTCAAATTCTTTAAAATATGATTTTTAAACATTTTAATGAAATAATTTTATATAACCAATTATTTTCAATAAAAATTTACAAAATCTCAATTATTTTCAAAATTTGGAATTAAAATTCGATAAAATTTGATTTTCAAAAATTTTAATTAAATACTTGAAAGATAAGAATTATTTGCAATAAAATTATACAAAATTTCCATTATTTTTAAAATATGCAATTAGAATTCTTTGAAATTTGATTTTCAAGAATTTTCATGAAACAATTTTTAAAAAAACCAATTATTTTCACTAAACTTGTTTAAAACTTCAATTATTTTCTAAATTTTAAATTCAAATTCTTTAAAATATGATTTTTAAACATTTTAATGTAATAATTTTAAATAACCAATTATTTTTAATAAAAATTTACAAAATCTCAATTATTTTCAAAATTTGGAATTAAATTAAAATTCGCCAAAATTTGATTTTCAAAAATTTTAATTAAATACTTGAAAGATGAGAATTATTTGCAATAAAATTATACAAAAATTTCAATTCTTTTTAAAATTTGCAATTAAAAATTACTCAAAATTTGATTTTTAAAATTTTTAATGAAATACTTATAAAAAAAGAATTACTTTTAATAAAATTTCAATGACTCTCGAAATTTGATTTTCTAAATTTTAATTATCATAAAAATTTATTCAGAAATAAGTTTTGAAAGATTCAACTATACTTATTTTCCACACAAAAAAAAATGAAATAATTTGCTTTCTATACAAAAATTTTTATTGCAATATTTGGAAGATAATTAAAAAGAAGTCGCGTTTCTTGAAAATTATCAGAAAAATATCGCCTTTTTCGTAAATAATCGGAAAAAGTAAAAAATCACACTATCCGAGGCTTTTCTTTTCAATTTGTCTCAAAGAGTTTTTTCTCAAATAAAAAAAAAAGATTGAAAAAGTAATTTTTTGGTCCATTCCACTAAAAACCGGTGCGAAGACTATTATTATTAATCTTAATACAAAATTAAAACATTCCCAGTCAAAGAATGTCCTTATTGGAAGGAGCAAAACATTTTTCGGTAAATCTCTTTTTTTTTTTTTTTTGAGTAAAAGATCTTTTTTTCTACAATAAAAATGGACAATTCGCTGTAGTTGCAATAAAAATTTCCCCTCATATATTTTTATATATCTTTCAGGGAAAGAAAAAGTAAAATTGTAAAATGAAATATCAAAAACATTTTCTTATTTCAATAAATTTTCGAATTATCGAAATTTTTTTCTTTTTCGAAATCAAATAATTATATTATATCGAATCAATAGAATTATAAAACAGTCTCTTTCTGACTAATAAGTTTAATTCCATGCTTCAATAAAATAGTCTCAAGAGAATCGCTATCCTTCCTCTTGAGATCATCGGGTCCAGGAATTTCTTCCTTCGTTAACTCCTCATCATTATCGACCGTCTCATCAAGACGATCTAAATTATCATTCGACGAATCAGAACGTCCAACATTGTCACTAGATCTTCTCAGCGATCGACTACGAAAATGCTTCAACGGTCGAATACTATCGGCCGATGCCATAAGTTTCATGTCCTTTGACTTTAAAAATCTATCATTCCCCTTAGAAAATAATTTGTGCTGTAAATTATCAGCCGACGAGTAGCGTCTCTTCTCCTGTCGATCAGTTTTACGCAAAAACGAACCCTTTCTACTCAATCGTCTCGAATTTTCCGTCAACATTATAACCTCATCTTTTGGGACAAAAAAATCCGGTCCATGAAAATCAACTCTAGTAATTGTCAACGGCTCTTTTTTCTTCTCCAAATACACCTCTAATTTCTTATCATTCTCCTGCTTTTCATTCTCCTTCTGTATTTTATTCTCCTTCTGTAATTTATTCTCCTGTTTTTCATTTTCCTCGAGTTGACGAATTTTTCTCTCCCCAATATTATTAATTTCAAAACGATCATCAAGCGTTCGATTCGATTCGTCGTCGGATTCAAAACTCGTTTTTGGTAAACTCAAGTGCAACGATTTCAAAACAGAAACACGTCGTTTCTCCGGTACTTGTAAATCTTGTTCGAATTCAATGGCCGGCTCGCCGCATATTTCACAAACTTCACAGGCAGATTTACTTTTCGCCAGTGTCTTAAATTCGAGGACATCCGCCGAATCGGGAAGATTACAGGAACTACAAATATCACACTCGGTTGAATCCTCAATTGGTGAACTGCAATTCGAACGAATTGTGTAGAATAATTCCGTGGATGATGGATCATTGGCGAGATAGCATTCGGAGCAAAAATTATCAGTCTGATCGTCATAATTATTTGTTGTGGTGATGGGTTGAAACATATTCTCCGATTTTGGTCTTATCTCGTCGTATATTATTTTTGGATTCGATAAAGTTAACGGCGCTTTTAATGAGAGTGAATTATTTTTTATTAATTCTAAACTTTTCGATTTTTTTGCCATCGACTCGAATGTTTTTTCAATTGTGGGTTTTTTAATGTCGAATGAATCTAAACTTCCTTGGAGAATTGTTTGTCTTTTTTCTTGATTATCAATGGTGAAATCATTTTTTTTTGCTTTTGAATCGGGACTGGACCATACTTCTCGTGATTCCTCGTAAATACTTTGATCGCCCTCCGATGTTGTTTCATCGGATTTTTGATGTTCGATTGCTTTCAATTTACCGTCGAGTTTCACTTTTTTTGGACTCTTCTTTGAATTGACTAGTGATTTCAAATACTTGCCATCGATTTCAAGATGAGATTCACGAAATGTTTCCATTTGGGAGAATTCAGAGTCTTCGGTTTCACTTTCGGTGAGACCAATTTCCTTTTGATCTTCAATATCAGAATGTTTGTCGATAAAAGTTTGGGTGCCTCGGGTCTTATTGAGTTTCTTAAAGTTGACAACTTGTCCGAAACTTCGTTTTGCATTTTCCACATCAGTCTTTGGGCAGTGTTCGTTTTCGTCAATATTATTGCGGTTTTCATTGCTCTTGATATTGCTGACGATTGGCTTTATGCTGGCGATTTTTGTTGCATCGTCGTGACGATTTCGATTTTCCTTTTCATCGGGAATTATTTCGGGTTGTTTTGTTGTATTGTGAATATTACGGGACAGAATGTACTCGATATCACAAGAATTATCGATCGATGAAACAATGACTATTTCCTTGCTCTCGGATATGATGGATTTTCTAATTTGCTTATTACTACGCATCTCGAATTTATCGCCGGAATCTTTTCGACTAAGAGTATTATTGCTAAACGTGCTATTATTATCGAGGGGAACTGGTGTATTGGATTCTAAATTTGTAAATTCTACATTAAAATTGTTGTGCGAGTGCTCTAATGATGATTTTCTATCGGAGCCAACAATTGTTGTAACGTTCTCGATATATTGACTGGAACCTACCTCATCATTAATATTCGAATCTTCCGATTCATTGGCAACAATGTCGACTTGTTGTGTCAAGTCTGAATAAATATTATTTGGCACTGAATCATTTCCATTTTCAGTAAACATACTCAGGAATTTATCACGTACTGATTCATCGGAATTTTCACCGATTGACTTTAATTGTAATGGTAAATTAATTGGGAAATTATCGACAGGACTTTCCATGAGTACATCAACGGGTGATGGCGTTAAAAAAGCACTTAAAAATTCTGACTCACTGTGCAATACATTCATTTCAATACTCGATGACAAATTTAACTTACTTTTTAATCCCAAAAAAAAATTTGAATGCATGAAAGAAGAAACAACATTTCAATATTATAAAAAGATTTTTAGTAATATTTAATTTTCAAATTATTTTCTCAAAAGGAAAAAGTGCTAAAAGATATATTATAGTGAGAAACTAGAATTTTATTCGCAAAATAAAGATTAACACACATTTGTATGACTATTAGTCTAATGGAATTTTTCCGTGTATAATAAACACATTTTTGTGCAGATAAAAAAAAAGAGAAGGAAAATTGAAAAGAATTATTACCTCTAAAAGCTTTCTAGAAATTGAAATTTTAGAAGTGGTGTTAAATATGTAAACTCGCTTTTAAGGTAATATTGCCTTTAAAAAGAATCAGTTTGTTTATATTAAGTAGAAAGAGAATTATTCTTATTATCTTTTTTTTTTTGTTTTTAATTTTATAATTTAAAACTCACATTGAAGACATCCTTTTGGCACCATAAATTCCATGCTGATAAATGTAGTCAATTACGGAATCTTGCAATAAATATTTAACACTTTCATTCCTCCTTAACGCTCTTCTGATTCTAGTGGAACTAATTTCATTTGGTATCCAATCAGTCACGATGATTATATTTTGCTGCAATTGGGTAAAGCAGATGTGACCTATCTATCGTATTGATTTATATTTCCTTGCGCAAATAACTAAAGTACTTACCATATTTTTCGAAAGTATATCCGAATCGTAAATAAGTTTATTTGGACTTGATCCTTCTCTTGTTATTACGACTAGACCATGTTGACCGACGATTGTTTCGACCTGAGAAAAAATAAGAGATTGGTCAGAAAAAAAATAGAAGAGTCGGGAAAAAATATTGTTTCGAAAGTTGAAAAAAATTGTAATTAATAGAAATTAGTTACTATTTTTTTTTTAAAGTTATTTTGTATATTAGAAAAATTAATTCTTAAGTTAATGTTCCATTTTGCACTATCCTTTATTTCTGTGTAGTAATTTTTGAAAAAATCTAAACAGAAAAATTTCTCATATTTTAATATTTAAAACTTTAGGAAAAAAAGAGATACTTGTTATCTATTTTTCCACAAGAATTAAAAATTGTTAAATTTCAATTTCAAATTTTCTGAAAATTGAAGTATTTTCAAAAAATACAAATGTAGTTCTTTCAAAATTCAATTATTTTTTAGAATTTTTAATTAAAATTCTTTTCGGAATCAATTGTTTTTAATAATTTTTGTGAGAATTCAGTTATTTAAATACAAAAATCAATTTTTTTAGAATTTCCACTGCAATTATTCATAGTTTGAAAGAAAAAAATTATTATCATAAAATTTTAACAATACGTGACCAAAAATTAAAAATAATTGTTTATTAAAAATTATAATAGAAAAAAATTCTAAAATTATATTTTTAAAAATATATTTAAATAATTTTTAAAAGATAATAAATTTCTTAATTATGTATAATTAACAAATATCAAAATAATTGAAAATTAATAAAATTTGTTTCCAAATTAATCAAAATTTTTAAAAGAATTTTTGAAAAATATTAAAATTAAATTATTGTGTTTTTTAAAAGAATGCTTAATATTTTTAAAAAGTCAAGTTTTTAAAGATTTTAAAATAAAAATATGAAAGTACAAGTTTTCTGCCAAATTTATTATTTTGATTTTTTAAGTTTAATAATTATTAATTATTATTATTAAAATTATAAATTTAAGAATAATTTAATTTGAATTTTCAGTTTAAAAAAAAACAATTCTTCAGAAAATTGATTGTTTCTAAACTTTTCTAAGATTGTTTTAAGAAATTCAATTATTTTCGAAAAACTACATAAAAAAATTGATTTTTGTATTTAAATAATTGAATTCTCACAAAAATTATTAAAAACAATTGATTCCAAAAAGAATTTAAATTAAAAATTCCAAAAAATAATTGAATTTTGATTTTTTGAATGATTATGTTTTAAAGATATTTGAATTTTCTGAAATGTGTAATAGAAAATATTGAAAATAATGAAATACTAATTTTAAAAAATATAATAAAAAATTTCTGCAAATCAGTTTTTTTTTAAATATTTAAATATTTTTTTTTAAATAAATTTTAGAAGATAGTTTTTATTAATTTTCATTTAAAAATTTTTTGAGAATTCATATTACTTTTAATATTTGCGATAAAACTCCTTCAAAATTTTATTTAAATATATTTTCATGAAATACTTAAAAAATATCAGTTATTTTTAATAAGATTGTACAAAATTTTAATTATTTTCAAAATTTGAAATTTAAAATTCTTCAAAACTTATTTTTAAGAAATTTTAATGAAAGACTTTAAAAATACCGATTATTTTCAATAAAATTTCCCAAAATTTCAATTATTTTCAAAATTTGCAATTTAAAATTCTTCAAAATTTATTTTTAACAAATTTTAATGAAATACTTTAAAAATACCGATTATTTTCAATAAAATTTCCCAAAATTTCAATTATTTTCAAAATTTGGAATTAAAATTCATCAATATAAATTAAATTAAAAATAAATTTAATGAAATATAAATTTCAATGAAATATTTAAAAGAAGTGAATTGTTTTCAATAAAATTGTACAAAAATTCAATTATTTTCAATATTTGTAATTAAAACTTCTTCAAAATTTAATTTTTAATAATTTTAATAAAATATTTATAAGAAATGGATTATTTTTAATAAAATTTCAATTACTCTTAAAATTCCTCAAAGTTTGATTTTCAAAAATTCCAATGAAATCGTCAAAAAAGATTAATTATTTTCAATTTAATTTTACAAAATTTCAAGTATTTATATATAAACTTTTTGAATTATAATTTCAAAATTATTTCAAAAAATCGTAAAAAAAAATTTGCAAATCGAAAAAGTCACTTTTTTGAAAATAAGTCGAAAGAATTCCAAAAAGGCCGAGGCCCGTTCCCAAAGTTCTGAACGTTCAAATAAACGAAAATGATTTATTTCTCCTTTAAATTCAAATTTCAATTTAATAGACAATTTAATAATAAAATAATAATTTATCAGATAATTGCTTCACGAATTGAAAAAATAAATTACAAATTCACCAAATGTTTAATTTACATTTTTGCTTTTTCTCGCACTCGCTAATTATTAAAAATATTCCAATCGGCAAAAAATTTCCTTCATTTGAATATTCAGAACTTTAAGCATCACTAAAAACAAAATTTTTGCATTCTCGTCAAATGAGAAGGTATTATTTGCCAGAAATAAAAGAAAAATGAAATAAATTTAAGATATTTTCACAATCTTTAACAATCGTACATCGTCATCAGCCCAAACTCCAGGAATTGAGAAAGTTTCCAAGAGATCGGCACCGCAAAGCAGTTTAATTTCAATCGGAGTGGAATCCAAGTCATTTTTAATGTTCTCCGGTATCCAGTCCAAGTCCTCAATATCAATACCATTCTTGACATCGTTCACCTCGGACAATAGTGAATTTAACAAATTCTGATGATGCTGAAGACAGATTTTTGTTTTCGACCAAGCATTCTGTCGACATTCCCACGAACTAAGGCGTATCCAGTCATTATTTTCGAGGGCTAATCTTAACATTGCTAGTCTGTGCGTTGATGATGTTAATTCTTTCCTCGAATATGATTCATGTACCGGAGAAATAATACCGCCTACAACGATATGTGTACCCATTCTGTGGAGATGATCCCTCGCGATCTCTGAAATACGAAAAAAAATTTCTTAATAACAGAAAAGAAATTTCGATAAATTTTCTATAAATTTATTATTTCTTTTAACTGTTTAATTTTTTCTAATTAAAATAAATTATCTACTTAAAAAATAAATTAAAACTTTTTTTTCGTCGATATTATTCACTTTTGAGAATTAAAATTCAGAGATGAAGAAAAAATGTCGATTTTTAAAAACTCATTAAATAATTTCTCCACTCCCAACTGTTGTGTTGGTAATATTTTTTTTTTCTTCGAGTAAATGACACAATTATGTGACAAACAGATGAGTTGATTAAAAATTTTATCTATACGAGTTTTCAATTAACGTCGGCTTTGGGAGTTAATTAATTATTCGGGAAAAAAAAGAATATCTAAAAAACACACTCTTTTGCTGCTGATAAAACAGCTCTCCACATTATGTGCATAATTTCCTTTGGGGATTAAAATGCTTGTCCATGAGAAAAAGAAGAGCGAGAAAAAGAAAGAGAGAAAGAGAAAGAGTATACTCGTTAAAAATGTCTGTAAGCATAAATAATTAATTCTCAACAAAAAGTCGTGTATAATGAAATTTTTCCGTTCAAGTTTTCATTTTCAATTTTAAACTTATTTAACCTTTTTATAAAATGAATATTACCATTTTCTTTTTCGAGGCGGACTTTTTTTTCAAATATATTTTTTTCCTCGAAGCGAGAGAGAGAGAATTCTATTCGGTAACAAATCTTCATGCCTCGGGTCATAACACAATAGGGAATATTGGTATATAGTTTCTATTTTAAATTGTATAAGTGTCCTACTTGGTGAACAATGCATGGTTATTGAAACTTCTCGTATTTTAAAAACTTTTCTTTTCTTTCAAAAAAAAAAAAAAAAAATTGAAATGAAATGAAACCATTTTCGTTTAAAAAGAGATTTTTATCATAAATATTTATTTGATATTTAATAATTGATGATGGATAGCAATTTTTTAAGGCAAAAAATAGTTTTCTTCATTCTGACAAGTTTTAAAAAAACATAATTTTGTTTGCGTCATGAACCAACTTTTGTTTACTCATCCATTACACAAAAAATATGATTTATCATCTCTTTATCTCTTGTAAAGTTCCCAAAATTTTTTTTCAGTTTCCTGGCAAAAAAAGAAAGAAAACAAAGGTTATACTTAAAATAAGGATCTAGTTTTTCAGGTTCAGGTCAGACAAATGAAGATAACATTATATTATTTAAGAAACAGTCTCAGTGACCCAGTTTTATCAGAAATGCGCCTTAGACACCTGATTAAAATTGCATGATGCACTTTCTCGTAAAATTTTAAACTTCTTAAAATGCGAATCACGTTCTTTTCCACACTTATCCTTTAAATCTTAAAATCTTAAGAATGAAAACACGTTTTGAATATAAAAGGAATGTTATTAAATTTAAATTATTGTGTGTATATATAACCTCAACTAATATAAACATCATTCTGCTAATCAAAAAAACTGTTTTAATTCAATTATCACCTGACAAAAATGAATAAAAGTTCAAACTTTCAACTAACTATGTGTCAATATAATTAATATTTGTAAATTGTAAATGTTTATAAAAAGAAATGACATCAAAGTATTGATAGTACAATGTATTGACAATTGTTTTTTCACTAATTGAAAAAGAAAAATAATAAAAAAGAACAAAATGACAGAAATGAAAGAAAGAACTTAAGTGATCTATTTATAAAAGTAATAATCAAATTAAATCACAATTGATAATTATACGTACCAAACATTCGTAAATGCATATTAGTTGGTGGATCGTAACTACCGCATGATATTAAAATAACACGCGTTCGTGCCATTTTTCCTCTTATCTTTATATTGCATGTGCTGACAACACTATCACTGTATATTTAAAACTTTATTCTAAAACATTTGTCAATTTTAGATAAATTAAATATATAAAAATATTGTATTAAAACTAAAAATAACAGGAGACGACAAATTGTCGTACCACTGCGACTGACGTTTCCGCCATCTTTGATTCTCCTCAACAACTCTAGTCAAACACACAACCTATAACTCCGTTATCAAAACAACAACTTTTTTTTCTCTTTTTAAAAAACAAAATTAATCAAATTATCCTGATAATTATCCGAAATTTACCATTTATATTAAAATTAATCCATTTTCCACTATTTATACCCAATTTCCGATTAAATTAACAATATTTTTTTTCAAAATTTATTTTAAATCTATTACAGGCGGTAAAAATTGTAAATTCAAATTACATAACGGTTGATTTGTATTCTACTAGTAATATTTATAATATAGTAAAATAAATAAGAGAAGATATTTTATATTAAGTAATTAATAATGAAATTTTTGAATTTATAATTTTAATTGATCAATAGATTGTTTCGAAATTTTAGCAAGAGGTGTCTCTACGTGCTCCAATCTATTAATATCAGTGATTTAATTATTATTCAAGTGCCTAATAAAAGGCCAAAGTACGTATAACAAGAATTGATGATGCATTAATTTTTTTTTATTAATAAACACGATGTAACGAAATAAAAAAAATATAATTTGAATAATAAATTTGTTTTTTCAAATTTAATTTAAAAAAAAATACCTTCTGATATTCTTTTAATTTTCATCATGATATAAAAATAACACTTTTCTTGTGTCATTCGATTTATTGATTTTCTCAAGTTCTAAATTGGTTCATTCAAAATTTAATGTGAATTACTTTCAGAGTATTAATGAAAATTGGTTGGAGTTTTTTTTTACTTTTGCATAAAAATTTGTGAGAGTTAATTATAAACGTAAAATTAATTAACTCTGATAATTAATTAATAAATATTATTAATCTTAATAAATATTAATTATTACTTAATTAATATGATAATTAATTAATAAATAATAAAATTTTTTAAAAAATCGGAGTAAAAATAAAACAATATAAATAAATAAAAAGAGATGTAATAAGAAATATTAATTAACTGTAGTTTATAATTAATATTAATTATTAATAATTAGTAGGTATAAATAATTCAATATTATAGTCAAAATTGATAAAATTATTTTAAAAATATAAAAAATAATAAAATTATTAAAAAATATTAAGTGACATTTTTACTGAGTAATTATTCAATATTATTATAGTTAATTAATAATTTATTAATAAAATTTTAAAATTTTTATTGAATCTTAATGTTTTACTTACCTGTGAAAAATAAAAAGTTCTATTCAATTTAGAGTTAAATCGAAGAGAATAGAATCTAGAGAGTTTAAATTTGTTTTAAATTAACTGAGAATTTTTAAAATAAATTTTTAATTTTTTTATTATTAAGAAAAATTTTTTTTTCTAAGCAAAAAATTTTTTTTATTAAAAAAATTCAATTAAACAGAATAATTTAACTCTACTTTTTAACTCTGGGTAAAAAATTACCGAGTGTCAAATTCACTTATTTTTGGAGTAAAATTCAAAGCATTTAACTTACCTATTAATTTATAATTAATAATTTATAAATTTATAATAAGAATTTTTTATTTTGCAGCGAATTTTAACTTTGCTAATCATTGTACGTTTACATTTTTCTAAATTATAATTATTTTTTTTCTGTTATATAAAAATAAATGCACCCCATGGAAACTCCATGGAACTTCTGCAAGTTTCTTATTTTAAAAATATTTTAACATTTCCAGGTTTGTCGTAGATCAAGAAAATCAGGGAAAAGTCAGGGATTTTTATTAAAGTACTGGAAAAAAATTAATTTTCAAAAATTTTAATAAAATTTTTGTCAAAATTTCAATTATTTTCAAAAATTTTCCTCAATTTAATCATTTTCAATATCTGCTATTTTATAATAAAATTTTTCAAAAGATTTCAATTATTTAAAAAAAGTGTTGATAAAATTTAAAGCAAACGTTACATTATTTTCAAAAATAATAAAATTTTTTACAGAGATTCAATTATTTTCATGAATAATAAAACTTAACATAGAATTTCAATTATTTTTATAATGCAATTTTAATCGAATTCCTTGAAAAATGTATAATTATTCTTGAAAATTTTATTAAAATTAGTCGAAAAATTGAATTATTTAAAAATTTGTTGATAAAATTCTTCATGAGGATTCAATTTTGAAAAACATTCATTTATTTAATAAATTATTTATTTTTGAATTTAAATAATTGAATTCTCGTAGAATTTTCTGATAAAAATTGATTTAAAAATGAATTTCAGTTAAAATTTTACATAATAATTGAATATTAAAAGCATTATAGCATGAATTTTCAAAAATAATTGAATTTTGAATATTTTTGAAAATAATTACATTTTTCGTAGAATTTACTTAAAATTCTATTAAAAATAATTAAAATCCTGTGAAGAATTTTATTATTTAGGAAAATAATTGAATTCTTGTAAAGAAATTTTATTAAAATAGTATAGATTTTGAAAATATTTGAATTTCATCGAAAAATTTTATTACTTGTAAAAATATAATTGAATTCTTGAAAAGGATTTTATTAAAATTTTTGTAAATAGTTTAATATATTTTAAAAAAATTTTATGGAAATTTAAATTATTACAAAACATGAAGACATCAATAACTCCGAGTCTTCGACTCGGAGTGATCGATATCTTCATGTTTTGTAATGATATTCTTAAAATTTGTTGAATTTCATAAAGGTTTGAATTTGAAATTTTTGGAAAATCTTAATTTCTATGGAATGATAATAATGATTAAATATTTATTTAAAAACGAATTTTTTGGTGTTTTGGAATAATTTTACAATTAAAAAAATTCGTAATTAAATGTAATAGAACAGTTTTTTGAGTGTCATTCAAGTTTTGCAAAAAAAATTGCAACAAAGCTTATTATTAGACTCTAATCATAATAGAAATGTTAAAATAATTTTAAAATATAAAACTTGCAGAATTTCCACGGAATCTCCACGGAAATTCAATGGAATTTCCAGGGGAATTTTCCGACGTGGGATATTAATAAAATATAAAATAAATAATTTTTAAATAGTAAATAAAAAATAAATAAACAATAAATAGATAATAATGTAAAAATAATAAATAAATAGATATACTAAATAATAGATAATATTTCAATGAAGAAAAAAAATATATTATCAAAGTCAAACTGATGGAAATCCGATATTATAGAGGATAAATTTTATTAGCAAACTTTTGCCAAGTTTTAAAAAAGTTTTGTTAAAAATATTTTAACTCAGCTGGATAAAAACAGAACGGGGGGTAAAATTGAAACCAATAAATTAGTGAGATTGGTCTCTATGTCTTGGAGTTTTGCAAAAAAAAAAAAAAAAAAAAAAGAAGAAAAAAGAAGAAGAGAAAAAAAAAGAAGAGGAGGTGAATTTAGTAAAGGACAATAAAACACCAATGCATCATTTGGTGTTCGTAAACAGAAGCGTTTCACGTCTCTCAAAAAGTTTTCCTAAAGAAACATCTGTAATAGCGGAAGGCAGTTTAATTTCTTTCCAGTCCAGACAGCGCGCAGGCAGGCAGCTGTTTGTGATAAACCTTTAGCGGAAACACAGTACTTTTCAGTCTACGATAGTGGTATACTCGCGGGTAATAAAAACTTGCCAAGTTCCCTTAAGAGCCGATGGAAAAGCTTCACAGTCACAATGTATATATATATATTTATATATACTACTGTGTGCACTTCACGTAAATACTATATAAAGTCCAGCAAATCAATCGGAATTACTTTTTCTTTAAGAGCATGTACCAAATAGTATGCCATGACTTTTCCTTTTTCATCAAACTTAACATATCTCAAATCCCTTTTTTTTCGCTGGAGAAAAAAAATTTTTTAAATCAGAAGGATTTTTTATTTAAAAATTTTTTTTTTTATAATTATTATTTATCACTAGTAGCAAATGTTACGCGCGGAATGTGGTTTTTCAATTTATTATTCTTATGTAAATTACAAAACTTTTTATTTTCAAATATAAATTTTTTAAATAATTTCATAATCAAAATTTAAAAAATTCACTTAAATTTTTTTTTAATAATGTGTAAAAAATTAATTTTACTTTTTTAAAATCAATTTACAAAATCAATTTTCAAAATATTTTGAAAAAATTGTTCTTGAGGAAAGAATTACGAAATTATCAATTTTTGCCATAAGTTTAACACGTCTTATAATTTTTTTTTCGTCAGCACCAAAATGTTTCCAAAAACAAAATAGAAAAATTAGCGTCAATAAAAAATATTAATTTGAAAATATTTAAAATCTATTTCAAAATGTTTATTTCGCATAATTATTGAAATTAAAAAAAAATAATAATTCGCAACTACAGAAAATTAATTTTTTAGTTATTTTACATTACAATTTTGTTTTATTCATCTGAGTTTAATTACCAGCTTTTTACTGTCTGATTTTATTTTCAATAATAAATTTTGTCTATTAATTTAATTTCTAAATTTCCCACTAAAGAGAGAAAATATTTTCACTTTCTTATTTTTTCGCTTTTTCTTTAAGAAAACAAAGTACTCTGATATAAACAAAGTATCGCTAAAAGTCAATAAATCTTGACGTCAGAGATTGGTACACGCCCTAAAGTTGAATAACGAAGTCGATTCTGGTCTTGACCTTTTGAACTCGAAAAGCCTCTGCGCTATCCACTTGAAAACCTAATGATTTGCTTAAATTTTTTTATTTATCCCCTCGAAATTTTTTTTTTTTTAATTTAAAAGCTGATATTATATATAGCAGTTATTTTTTTATTTTCTCTGACAATTTTATAATAAATGAATTTATTTACTTCGTTAATAATACGGAATGATTGTTAATTAAACTACGATAATAAAAAAAATGTTTTTTATATTTTTCATCTTTTTTTCGTTTTTCTGTGTTAATTTCATGATGAACGAATTTCTCTACAGTCATCTCTCGATAATTAAACTTTCATTAAATTCAACTCGATTTTTGTCCCTACAGGAATGGAAAATAGAAATAAAAATTACAGTAAAATATTTGATAAATAAAACTTTCGATAGCTTTTGTATTTCTTCCTT